AAATAACAAATAATCACAACCGAATATAATAAGAATATCAAGACTTAGGTGCATCACGAATCCTGATCCACGCAGCTATTCTACTGCTGTAGTAATTCTCCCAACCGATAATCGACTCATCTCGAAGTGACATCCAAAAAGGGCATATAGGCGGTATTGGATGGCCGGGCGCCAAATTAACACGAATGAAGTGTGGGTAACTACCAAGGTGACACAAGACGATCTCTCGCTCCGGATATGTAGCCGTCGATGGTGCGACGAGAGGCAGTACAGTAGAACTAAAAAAGGTGGGATTGTCACCACGATCACCCATGCCTATCAAGACCACAAGTGCATTAAAAAATGTGGCAACGGGAAAGAGGTCGCACATAGTTTCCATCCAGTGGTTACGGCCACAAGGGCCCCCATCCCAGCGTATTCGATTGAGTGTTGCGTTGATCCCGTCATAGAAGATGTTCTCGTACCTCGGAATGTTCCCCGCAATCTCATTTGCAATAATTTGTCTTAGCAACCGGTACTTCTCCTGGTCACCGAAAATATAGCTCGCAATTACCCGAAATCCGCAGTTCCCATCGTCGGTCACATCCAAGTAGCTCTCTACGTAGTCGTGCACAATGTAGGGAATGCTATTCCAATACCGGTAACCGAAGAAGTCTGTCGAGAACGTCTTATAATATCACAAATATTTCACGTAAGAATATATATAATCGAATTTATTTATGAACATAATTCGATGAAGTGTTTAAAATAAATTTAATTAGAATTCAACCTGTCGGTCCTTCTGAACGCTGAGAAGACGAGCTTGTCGGTGCTTGTGATGAAGTGCTTTTACGGCCAACCGGACGACCTCTTTCCCGGTACTCCCAGACGCATGGATCACGTTTCGTTGAATTTCTCTTTTTCGGTCGGCCTCGCGTGTTTTCCTTCACCTCAGGTTCTCCGTAACCTTGTTGGTCAAAGTAAAAACTCATTAGTGTTATATTAAATATGAGTGTTATATTAAATGTTTTTGTGCAATTTTGAATAGGTGGACCGTAA